TCCATACCATTTTGCATAAAGCCTGCACCATTTTGCAGCCCCACCAACACTGTATGATTGTTCCTTTTTCTCTGCAACCTCTTCAGCACTTATTCTCAGTCTTGGAAACTAGCCATCCTGACTGGAGTGAGATGGTATCTCAAAGTGGTCTTGATTTGCATTTCTCAAATGATGAGTGATGAAGGGTATTTTTTCATGTGTCTGTTGAGCATTCATTTATCTTCCATTGAGAAATGCTTATTCAGCTCCATTGCTCATTTTTTAATTGGGTTATTTGGTTTTTTTGCTGTAAAGTTGTTTGAGTTCCTTCTATATTCTGGATATTAGTCCTTTGACATATGAACATTTTGCAAATATTTTCTCCCATTCTGTTGGTTGTCTTATTCGCTCTGTTGATTCTGTTTAGTTTCATATAATCACATTTGTTTATTTTTCCTTTGGTTGCCTATGCTTTTGGGGTCATATTCATGAAGGCTGTACCCACTTCTACTTCCTGGAGTGTTTCAACTATGTTTTCCTTAAGGAGTTTTATTTTTTCAGGATGTATATTTAATTCTTTAATCCATTTTGTGTTGATTTTTGTATATGGTGAGTGGTATGGGTGTGGTTTCATTGTCCTACATATGAATATCCAGTTTTCGCAGCACCATTTGCTGAAGAGGTAGTCTGTTTCCTAGTGTGTAAACTTGGTGCCTTTGTCAAAGATCAGATGGCTGTAGGTGTATCGGTTGACTTCTGGGTTCTCTATTCTATTCTGTTTATCTGTGTGTCTGTTTTTATGCCAGCCCCATGCTATTTTGGTTGTCATAACTTTATAGTATAGTTTAAAGTCAGTTAGTGTTATGCCTGCATGGTGTTTTTGTTATTATTTTTTGTTTGTTTGTTTGCTCAGGATTCCTTTCACTATGTTTGGTCTTTTCTTATTCCATATGAATGTCCAGATAGTTTTTTCCATTTCTGAGGAAAATGTCATGGGAATTTTTATGGGGATGGCATTGAATCTGTAGATCACTTTGGATAATATGGACATTTTCAAAATGTTAATTCTTATGATCCAAGAGCATGGGATAACTTTCCATCTATACCCCACAGAAAAACAATTTTTTACCAAATCAAAACTGCATCACTTATGGTTATTGTGATTCCAAATTACCTTGGAAATGTTCACTCATTTCTCTAGAGCACAAACAAAACAAAACAAGTTTGGAGAATTTTCATACATGACATTGACTGGAGTTTGAAATGGAGGCGTTCTGCACCATTTACCCAGTCCGGTTTCTGGCTGTCCCAGACAGCCATTTAAAACTCCCAGAGGGTCATGTGCCCTCTCACAACAGAAACTAACTTCTGGATGAAGTTCAAGAAGGTGGAGATCTAGATGCCCTGGATCCAAATAAACCCATGATTTCCTGTCTTCTAGTAACCTAACCTAACTACTGAACCCAGGTCTGTTTTTGCTGTGACATTCAAGCCCAGTTTGTATCTAAAATTTTCTCATACCAACTTACATAGCTGAAAATGCAAATCTTTGGAGCACTGGAATCTGAGAGAGAACTTATTCACAATTCCCAGATGCAGCAAGTAAATAGTGAGCACAATGAGCTCAGCAGGTACCTATGCCTGGTTACTTCATGCTCCTGGGGATCACCTGAGCTCTGCTTCAGATCCTGTCAACTGCACCAAATACGCTAAAGAGAAAAACCTTAGACAAATTTAAGTTTCAACTGAGTTTATTTGAGCAAAGAAAACTCAAAGCAAAACAGAGCAAAATGAAGCAAAGTAAAACAAAAATTATTCAAGTATCAATCAGCCCTCTAAACCAGAGCAGGGTCAGAAAACTTCAACCAAAAACATGATTTGACAGCATTATTAGAAAATGTAAGCACAGGGTAAAAACAGCTTACTTTGCTACAGCTTAATTGGTTAATTGGTTACAGAGCCTCCAGCAGTTAACTCAATATTGGTTTGGTGTTCAAATAGATGGTCTGCCACAAATACTGTTTACCAGTAAGTTTAAAACAAATCTAGATTGGGAAAGAGTGATGGTTAAGGGGTTATGACAACTCTCTCCCAAAGTCACCTTTGCCAAATTTTGGTGATAAGAAAGTTTAGTTTTGCTACAGAGTCCTGGATGTACCTTTTCATCTACTGACATTGAAGGGAGGGGCTGTGACCAGGCACCTGAAGGTGCTGCATTAAGGACGAAAATGTAGGGGAGACTTCTTTCCTTTTGCCCTGAAGGTAAAGGGTTCCCCTAGTAATGAGGGTGAGAGACTTGGAACACATCTGCAGTGCAGTGAGCTGGACAGGCTGCATTACTTCTTTTTTACTTTTCATTAAGCTGTTTCTGTGTCTGTTGGGATGGGGAGGCTGAGGTTGGTTGTGTTGATTGCCAGGCATCGAAGTTCAAAGAAGAATACACAACTTCATCCATCTGAAAAGTATGAGCAGTGATCAGTCAAGTCAGTGTCACATGTCAGGGACAGAGCCTTGCCTAGTGTGATTCAGCACCACATGCAGATGCCTCTTTTCACTATGGAGATGCTAAAAGAATGTTACCGATTGTCTGCTTGCTAGCATCCTGATGAATGGTCATTGGAAAAGACAGATTATGCTGCTCATAATGTAATATGTTGTTATAGCCATGAGAACAAACGGACCACAAATACATAGAACAATATGGGTAAATCCCTCAGAACCATGTTGAGCGAAAGAAGCCAGACAGGGTTATGCAGTTTTTTTCATTTATGTAAGAGCAGAAATAGGCAAAATTAATCTAGAGCATTGGAAGAAAGGATTATGGTTACTCTTTGGACAGAAGTGACTGGAAGAGTTTTTCAGGATGGAGGGGTCTTTTAGTATTTCTTGACTCGGGTGCTGCTTACATGGATGTGTCCAGCCTGTGAAAGTTCATACACTATGAAAGCATGTTTATAACTTAAGTTCTTTTCAGAATATATGTATGTACTCCATGGAGATGTTAAGAAGAGAAAAATTGTGTAAAATTATTATAAAATAAAAGAAGCAAGACCTCAGAACTATTAGAATGGAAGTTAGTCTTTTGACAATAAGAGCAGAGCCAGATTGAAGGTGGAGGAGACAGAACAATTTAGTGCCTTCCTTGTTCTGGGCATTGTGCTGGGTGCTTTACAAATGTTATCTTGCTTCATCCCTTCAACTTCTTTTTGAAGTAGGCAGAATGCCCATTTTACAGATGATAAGGATCAAAAATGTAGAGTTACTTGCCCAAGGTCACATAACCACTGAGTCACACCTGGTCTCAAACACAGAATAGGATGGTTCCAGTGCACGTTCTTGCTGTGAGTAGACTCATGGGCATGACTAACCAATACTTCTTTGTTTGTTGCTGCATTGAGGAACCTTGACCCAAACTTGACCTCACATTTGTGTCTTCAAATATATCCCATTCCATGCAGAGACATTTCCATGAGAAAATGAGCCATGGAACTGGCTGTGTTTACCCTGTTAGGGGAGTTGTCAGAATGATCCTGAACTCGGGATGCAAAGAAGAATTATCAATCTCTGGAAATGCAAAGCCAACTTATGGCCTGTGGTTTCTAGCTGAGGAAGGTCACAGATGGGTCACTGGGGGGAGGAAGCCCATGATCACTGATAGAATTTGCTTCCCTCAGAGTCTGTGGTGCAGATCCAGCATTAGTACCAGAGTGGGAGCAGGGATAGAGCCACAGGAGGCCTCAATCCACTTCTGAAGATTTCTACCAGTTCCCAGGCCTTGATTTTTTATCAAATGTGTTTCACTGCAACACATTATATTGGCAAGTGGGGCATTGAGGTCCACAGCTCCCAGAGCATGCACAAGACAAAGAAAGTCTCACCCAGGGAGAATGCCCACATCTGTAACAGAGGCAGGAGGGGGAAGGAGTAAGGATGAGGAAATGGGTCCTAGAGACATGGGATCTGACTCAGGCCTGCCTGGCCTAGGTGTGTGAGCCTCTCTTCTGGGGATTTCTCAGGGGCCTCTTGTGGCTAGGAGGAATATGAGAACCTAAGACAACTGAGGGTTGGGAAATGGAGCCTCCCTCTGTAAGAATTCAGAAGAGAGGGAGTGGTTTGGGAATCCAGGACTCCCTTCCAGGGCAGGGCACGTGGTGGAACACACCAGTTCTCAGTGGGTGGTTGGCTTTACTTATTGTGGTTGGAGGCTGAGGGTTTGTGCTCTGTCTGATTGTGCTGGTCACTAGCCCTAAATAAATATCAGACACTGTGACTGTTATTCCCAAGTACAGGATCTTTGCTCCCTGAGTTAGGAAGGACACGGTCAGTAGATGATTCCTTGAGACTCCTTGGTGTTCATTCATACTGTGGATGGTACTGCCTTTTCTCTTGGGGCCTCATTCTTTAATCCAACCATGATCCCTTCCGGTGTTTACTCCTTTCCTGTTTGCTGGATGTTCACATTTAGGTCCATTCTTTATCGACTGCTTCTGTGTGTACTTCTACCCTAAGACCTTTCCTGTTTTGTATTTCAGGGGTAGGTGCTGGTTTTCTCTCACTTTACCTATTGTCCCAGAGAACTTAGGTTGTTTCTTTTCTCTCTTAGTTTCTCTTTCTATCCCTCCCTCCTCCTGCTACTGTGGCCAACAGAGCTTTCCCCTGCAGCTCCTTTCATCTCCTCTTTTATATTTCTTCTTGGACTTTGTCTTCTTTCACTGGGGGACAGAGGAGCATCATTGGGCCTGTTCCTCTAACCCAGATATGGGGTTGGGAATAACCATGTACAAGAGATGGTGGGGTACAGTGAGCATGAAGACCAGGGAAGAAGAGACCTGCAGGAATTAGTGCCAAGAATCAGGAGTTCATGGAGGATTAGGAGGAGGAGGAGGAGATCCAGGCCCACAGATGGAGGTGAAGAAGATCTTTTCCTCTCCCAAGGATGGCAGTGCGCCTTGGATAAAACAGAAGCAGAGAAAAAAATATCATACCTACCTATCTCCCTAAAACATACCAGGGCTGCTATGTCAGAGCCACCCCGGCAGTACTCCAATCACGATGCCAACAAGCAACCCAGCTGAAATGCCTGGAGAACTTCCTGTTACTGGATTATCTGTCATGGAAAAGAAAAAGGTGAAAGAATGAAGGTGGAATTGTTTTGCAGTGTGGGTGCCCTGGGAAATAACTCTCAGCCTGAATAATCTCTATTTGTTGCTTCAAGAAATATATTTTCTGTGGGAAGGTTGCTGGGAGGTGATTAGCCAACTATATCCTTGTGATATTTTTTCTCTCTCACTGTGTTTCTAGGTTGTTGATAAGTCTTTGCTCAATTCCATCTTTTCCTTTCTTCACTCAGATATTTTTGAAGGCTTTGAAATGTGAGAAAGGCTGACTGCTCTTTGGTATGTTGTTTTAACTTCCTACTTTCCTGGTTGCATCTTTTTCTCAGTGTCCCATTTTTAGGGCAGCCATGCACATGTGCCTCTCAGTTCTCCTCTGGCAAAGACTTAATTGATGGAAGCTCCAGGCTAGTGCTTTCTGAATTCACCACCTCGTTTGCACAGACATGACGCTACCCACAGGCTCCCAGCAGGGGTATGAAAGCAAGACCAGTTCTGAGAGATGTGGTTTTCCTCTGATGGGGACTGCCTCAAGGACTCCCATCAGTGCTGCAGAAACTCTCATCGAACTGTGCTTCAGTCTAAAACTTCCTTGCCTTTCTTTCTACTTCCCAGGGATCAGCTCTGCTTCATGGTGCGAGAGCCCTCTCAGGCTGCTCCCACTCCTGCCCCACATTCCATCAGCAGTGATTTCTGTAATAAATTTCATGCATATCTCATGTTGGCTGCATCTCAGTGGGTAAAAATCAAATCATCTGGCTTGAGACTTTGCCTTTTAACTCTTTTTTTCCTTCTCCCACATTTAGAAGTAACCATGTCCTAGTAGATATTTCATATAGTGCCCTCTCCCCCATGTATATAATAAGTTTTGCATCTGTTTTTTGTTCTTTATTTATGTTGCAACCATTTTGGGTGGAGCACTCTCCAGTGAACTGAAGGCTGATGGTTGATGCTAATGCTATTTACTGTTACAGGGCACTTACTATATGGCAGTCCTTGTGCTAAGTTCTTTACATGTATATCATTTGATCCATATGATAACCCTGTCAGGTAGACAGTATTTCCATTTTACAGATGAAACCATTGCAGCTTAGAGTGGTGAAAAACTTACCCAAAGGGCTAGTATGAGGTGGATCTTGGATTTAATTTTAGAACTACCTGTCTTCAAGGCCAATGACAATAGTAGTAATATCAGTTAAGAGTTATGGAACAATTCTTCTGCGTGTGTCATTTTGCTGAAGTTTTGATTAACTGTTACATAAAATATTCAATATAATACCATGAAGAAGGTAGTCATTGTAACTTTCAGATGAGGAATCTGAGTCTCAGCTACATTAAGAATCATGTGCAAGACATTTATAACTGCAAAAGCATACATTGAAAAAGAAGAAATATCTCAAATCAACAACTTGAGTTTCCAACTTAAAGAAATATTAAAAAAAAAAAAAAAAAAACTAAAGCCAAAGCTAGTGGAGAAAAGGTAACAATAAAAATCAGAAACAAAGGAAACAAAACAAAAAAAAAAAAAACAATAAATAAAACGGGGAAGAGAAAAACAGTAAAATAACAATGAAACAAAAAGTTGGTTTTCCAAAATTTAAAAAATTTTGCAACATTTAAATACTTTGACTAACACAAGAACAGAGAAGATTCATATCAATAAAATCAGAAATGAAGGTAGAGACATTACAATTAATTGTGCAGAAAAAATAACAATTATTAGAGTACTATGAATAATTCTATGGCAACAAATTGGTTAACCTAGATGAAATGGATAGATTCCTATAAACACAAAACTTACCAGAAGGAATAGTGAAAAAATTAAAAATCTCAATAGTCCTATAACAATAAGGAGATTAAATCAGTGAAAACATCTGACAAGACTCAACATACTTACATGATAAAAGCACTCAAACTAGGAATAAAAGGAAATTACTGCCACATAATAAAGACCACAAATAAAAAGTTCACACTGAATTTCATCATACTCTGTGTTGAAAGGCTGAAGACGTCCCCTGTAAGATCAGGAACAAGGTAAGGATGCCTGCCGTTGCCAGTTTTATTCAACATAGTATTGGAAGTCCTACCCAGAGCAATTAGAGGAAAAAACATAAACAATTTGTATCCAAAATGGAAAAAAGTGACAACATTTCTGTTTGCACATTACATGAACTGAAATGTAGAAAACCTACAGATCTGAAGAAAAACCTCTTTATCTAATAAAGAAATTCCACCAAGTTGCAATATACAAAATCACCAGGTGAAAATTAGTTGTATCTCTATACAGTAACAATGAACATTCCAAAAGGAAATTAAGAAAATATTTCCTTTACTAAATTTTCAAAAAGAATAAAATATGTAGGAATAATCTTAGCCAGGACTTGTACATTGAAAACTACAAAACATTGTTGAAAGAAATTAAAGAAGACCTAAATAAATGGAAAGACATCCCATTTTTATGGGTTGGAAGACCTAATGTTGTTAAGATGACATTTCTACCCCAAATGATCTACAGATGCAATGCAATCCCTTTTAAAATTCCAGGGACATTTTTTGCAAGTATAGAAAATCAATCCTAAAATTCATGGAATTGCAAGGGAACCCAAATAGCCAATCTCGAAAAAGGAAAACAAAGGTGGAGGACTCCCACTTACTGATTTCAAAATGTGCCACAAAGCTACAAAAACCAAAACAGTGTAGCATGACAGTGTAGTGTGGGCATAAAGAAAGACATATGGAGTAATGGAATGGAATAGAAAGCCCAGAAAGAAATGCTCGCATATATGGACAAAAGATTTTTGACAAGAGTGCCAAGACTATTCAATGGGGAAAGGATAATGTTTTCAACAAACGATTTTGAGAAAACTGGATATTCATGCTAAAGAATGAAGTTCAATCTTTACCTAACAACTTGTGCAAAAATTAACTCAAAAATGGATCAAAGACCTAAATGAAAGAGCTAAAACTGTGAAACTTTTAGAAGAAATCACAGGGTAAGAGCTTCATGCTGTTAGATTTGGCAATAATTTCTCAGCTAGGACAACAAAAACACAGGCTACAAAAGAAAAATTGGACTTCGTGAAAATTAAAATCTTTTGTGCATCAAAGAACATCACTATGAAGGTAAAAAGACCACCTACAGAATGCGAGAATTACTTGGAAATCATATATCTGATAAGAAATTATTATCCAGAATATATAAAGAACGACTATAATTCAACAGCAAAACTAAAGAACTCAATTAAAAATGGGCAAGGGACTTGAACAGACCCTCCTCTAAAGAAGATAGACAAATGCCCGACAAGCACATGAAAAGATGCTTAACATCACTAATCATCGGGAAAATGCATATCAAAATCGCAATGATATACCAGCTTTGTATGTTTTTTGTAGCTCATGCAGTAGGTAAAAGAAAGCAAAAAGGTGACAAGGGGACGTGTTAGTGACAGAAGCAACGTGACCTTGATGACCCTTTTTCCTGTCCCTTCTGGGAAGCCCCTCCCACTACATGGATCTTCTAAAGGCTGAGAGAACCTCCTCCTCACATTCCAGTAAGGACCTAAGTTCAGCGATGAGAAACCAGAGAAGCAAGGTGAGGAGAGAGCCTGGAGAGATGGAGCGGGAGGGCTCCGGGGGAGAATTAGGGTTTTGTTTGTGTCTGTGGGATGCAGGCTGAGAAACAAATTTTTTCCTGGAATTTCTTTGCAAACAAGGTGGACACCACCCCAGAGCTTGGTTTGGGTAACTCTGCTGCACAGAGAACAGAGAGAAGATTGCCCTGTGTGGTGCCTGTGATTTCCTCAAAGGCATCTTTCAATCACAGTTGGCATCTCTCACCTCTCAGCTCACCTGAGTTCCTAAGAGAACCAGGCTGGTGTGTGTGTCACAAGACAGATGCAGTAGGATCTGGGTGCTCAGAGAATGTGACGCTGCCTGCTCTGTCTGGGAGAAGCTCAACTTTCTCACCTGGGAAATGAGCAGCAGCGCTTGATTGTGGACAGACACAGGACATGTAGTCGCAGGTCTCCCGTTGCTTCTCCGGGTTTGTTGCTGACCAGGTGACTGCCCGACTGACCCCGGGACATGTGGGTGCCGAGTCCCTTCCAGCTGCACAGTCCTACACTGCCTAGCTGAGGTGTGTTTTCTCTGAGGCCTTTCTTTTCAAAGATATCTAGGATGGGCCATGATGGGGACTGGATGTTTGAGCAGAAATAAAACACATGAAATACCAGGAACAAGCCTGGTGATCAGTTTAGTAGTCAGGGTGTGTGCCAGAAGGTGGGGACACACACACACACACACACACACACACACACACACACACACACACACACACACACACAGCATACATGTATTTGTGTATGCCCAGTCCTCTTCATTCTCTCTCTCTGTATATACATTTTGGCACTACCCCTTCCCTCCATGGAGGACTCGATGGCTGAGTCTCTCTGCTTCTCCAAGTGAACATCACTCACTGTCGTATGTGGTCATCGCATGCGATGGTGTCCACAGGTTTCTACAACTGGTAACATCAGAGCCAGGACACAGCTCAGAGGCAACTGTCCCGAGGCTCGCTCTCATCCCATTTCCCTGCAATCTGACCTGAGGGAGGCCCTGGTGTCCACTGGTGGCACGTTTAGCCAGATTCAGGACAGGCCACCTGGGCACCTTCTCCACCTGCCCCAGTCCCAGCCTAGATGGCATCAGAGCAGAGCAGTGAGTGGGCAGCTGGGAGCAGAGCAGGAAGTAGAGCTACGATCTGCTCATCCTCATCTGTGGTGTTTCCTCCTTTCATTTGGGGAAATACAGTATGAGCTTGTTTCAAAGGCTTGTATGTTCCTTGTAGCTCATGGAGTAGGTAAAAGAAAACAAAGAGGTGACAGGACAGGATGTGTTAGTGACAGAGAGAAGAAACTTGACCTTGAGGACTCTTCTTTCTTCCCCACTCTCGGAAGCCCCTCCCACTGCATGGGTCTTTATGAAGCTGTCCCAAGGTCAGCCATGAGAAATCAGAGAAGCAAGGGGAGGAGAGAATCTGCAGAGATGGAGTGGGGGGACTCATGGGGATAATGAGGCTTTTGCTTGTACCTATGTGACACCAGCTGAGAAAGAAATGTTTTCCTGGATTCTCTTTGTAAACCAGGTAGACTCCACCCCAGAGCTTGGTGTTGATTCTGCAGGGATCCACTTACCATAGACTGTGACCGTCTTGACTGTGGCCCTCTTGAGGCCTGTGGCAGAGTTATAGGCAAGGCAGGTATAGGATCCACTATCACTCACAGTGATGTTGGGGATAATGAGCTCTTGTGTGGATTGCTGGGGTCTCCCATTGATAAGCCACGAATACTGTGCGGGTGGGTTAGAGGCCGCGTAGCAGAAGAGGCTGAGGGTTGCTCCTGTACGGTAAGATGAGTCTGGGGGGGAAATGGTGGGCGTGTCCGGGCCATCTGGAACAAAGAGCATAAAGCCACACATGATGTCATCTGGGAAAAGGGGACACTCCTGGTCTATTGAAGGGCCTTAGTATTGCTTTGATCTGCATCCCAACCTTGCTTTAATCCCCCATGTTCACTGAGCCCGAGTCTGAGACCCTAACCTGTTTCTCACTTCCTGTTCTGTTGACCCTGAGATTCCCAAGACAGAAGCAGCCCCTCCCCTCCTATACTTGGCTTGAAGTTTGACCTGTCGGGATTTGCCTTGGTCAGATATCATGGCCATCCTGAGTGTCTCGGAGTGAGGGTCTCTGTACTTGGACCTGAAGGACTGGGTTGTCTGGCCTTTGGCTCTTGTGACTTGCTCTGGCAGTCTGGGTCAGGGGGAACAGAAGTTACTCACAGGAAATATTCAGGGTGACTGGGTCACTGCGGCCAGTGCTCACTGGGTTCTGGGTTTCACACTCATAGGGTCCTGTGTCGTTCCTCATGACACTAAGTAAAGTGAGAGTCCTGTTGTCCGGGGACAGATCAAGCCTGGAACTGAGCTGGAGGCTCTGACCATTTACCCACCACAGGTAGGTTGTGTCCTGAGTCTCAGGTTCACATGTTAATGCCACAGAGTCCTCGTCCTCCACAGGGTGGGAGTTGTTGCTTGTGACAGAGGGCTTGGGTAACTCCGCTGCACAGAGAACAGAGAGAAGATTGTCCTGTGTGGTACCT